ATCCCTTCGGGGCACACGCATGCGCAAAGCACCCATAGGGACAGTCCTTACGAATGGGCCTCCCGGTTCCCCACTTAATATTATTCCCCATCCCGTCCCGGCCGCTAAAACAAAAAACACAATCCCTCTACACTAAATACAGCCCACAAATCGGTACCAGGGTCCCTGCAAGAGGCAATGTGCCGACCGCATTATCCTCGCGTCGCTCTGTCTCTCTTCGGAACGGTCCTCGGAACCGCCCCATTTCCCCAGGAACGCTCCTCGGAACCGTCCCGTGTCCCCAGGACCGATCCATGGAACCGCGTCCCACGTCCCCAGAAACGATCCATGGAACCGTCCGATGTCCCCAAGACTGGTCCACGAAATCGTCCCATCATCACAATACCGCTCGTCGTCGGAACCGTTCCACGTCCCCAGGAACCGCCGTCCGGACCGTGTACCATGTTCCCAAGACCGGCGGTCGGAACCGCCCCAATTTCCCAGGAACGGTTCTCGGAACCGTCCCTGGGCCCGGGAAACAAGTTCGCAGCCCGACACCGACGCGCCCGATTCCCCCCATTTCTTGGACGCCCCCAAGGTTTTTTTTTTTCCCATGACCCCAACATCGTCGCTACGGGTCCTGCAAGTTCGAGAGCAGGGGCGTTGTTGTCAAGAAACGAACGTGAGCAAAACGTTAGATGAATCACGAGGTGAGAGAATTAGGGGGGTTGATGGGGGTACTTCAACATATGAGCGAAACGTCAGACGAACCACGATGTCCCGGGGGGCGGGGGGCGGGGGGGGAGGGGGGGGTACTCGAATACCTGTTGACGACCCCGCTCATCGCGAGCCTACAACACTCTTTTGTGGTTAACTGGTCACGAGCTGATTGTGTGCGTGCGGGAAGCTTAACCTTGAGCTTCAAAAAACAGCGGTAACACGATCGATTTCAAGTGCTTTGGGGCGGTGACAGTGTGTGCTCGCGATACGCTAGAAACTCCGAGAGGCGAAGAAAAAGAAAAAAACACGATCACGTGTTTTACACCGCCGACCTCCAGATGACCTCTTGCGGTTGTAAGTGTAGCAAACACATGACACAGCTCTGAAGACGCAACGTAGCGTCTGCGGTTTTCAGGGTTGTATTCTCCTTCATGTTGTCTGAGCGTGTTGTTGGCCGCGTCACTTGGACCGAAACGGTTGTAATTGAATACATGTACAGTACCGTATGCTACGAGTCCATTTGGTGAGCTTTGCGGCCTGCGGACATTTGTCGTGTTTTGCTCGACGCGGCAATAAATATATATATATGGACGGGGGTGTTTATTTTAGTTAATTATTGTTCAGGTTTGGGGAGTATATGTACATATCAAAGACAACAAATCAAATACCAACAAGACAACAACAAGACAACAAAGACAAGGCCACAAGCGCTATCATAGGACGACTCAAGCTCACACGGCATGCCCACCGATGGCACACCAATTGCCCCTGAGACTGAAGCTCGTCAAAGACGAAGACAGGGAGACCGTCACGAATGACAACCCACGTATTCCTTTTACCAAGTTCATACAAATTGTACAGTCCAAGACAACGCGCACTCGTACATGCACACGCTGTGGTCAGCCGGCTAACGCGGTCGATGGTAGTCAACGAAACACAAAAGCACTGACGGCGTTTCAGCCGGCTAGCGCGGTCAATCGCTACTCAAAACAACAAAACACTACTCACGCACATGCGTCGTCCACTGGTCTGCCGTTTAGTGCGGTCCACGCCGTTCACACACTGACGTCTGCTCATTGGTCAACCGGTTGGCGCGGTCGATGCCAAGTACACCACCATGTAAGAACAAGACTCTTCGCAAAGGAGGACTGCTTACGCAAACAAAGGTTTAACTACAAAACACGAACACGAAGAAAAAAGGCCGCAAACACTGACCCAAACGCCGACTTCTACAGTTCATCCAGAATAGAGGCATGTTCGCTTCCTTACAAAATACCTGCGTACCATCGACTACTGCTTGCCACAAACCCGTGGCCTTCACATTTTTACCTTTTTGATGACCTTCGATCGGTGATTGATGTTTCCCCCCTTCTTGATGAGCGAGTCCGACTGCTGGAGGTACCGCGACATGAGCCGGTACGTGGAAGGGTTGAGCCCGCTGGGCGCCTCCTGCTCCGGGGACCGGAACCTCTGCATCTTCTCTCGGATCTGGGAGAGGAACGGCGGCAGTAAAAGCAAGAACCAAACGGCGGCGGCAAGGTAGCAAAACATTTACCATGGTATTACTTATTAAGCCACGGAAGTAGGTGTCTCTCTGCATCTTCTCTCGGATCTGGGAGAGGAACGGCGGTTGTTGAGGGAAAAACGATTCTGTGCATCTTCTCTCGAATCTGGAAACAGGGGCGGTGGCGGTGGCGAAACAGCAAAAACAAATATTATTTACCACGGAAAAACAACCGACCGCCTCCGCCGCCGGCGGAAGCAAATACCACAGAAGTAACCACCGAACAGACAGCAGCAGCAAAAACACAAAAACGTTTAGCCAAGCGAAGGACCGCCGCCACCAAACAACCACGGAAATACCCACCGAGAATGGACGGCAGCAACAACAAAAATTCATCAAGGAACACCAAAAAAGCCAAAAAAAGGGGGGGGGGGGGGGGGGGGGGGGGTTTAAGGTTATTTTTTTGGGGGGGGGAAAAAAAAACACCCTTTCCCCCCCGGAAATTTGAAACTGGGAGAAAAACGGGAACAAATGGGTTTTGAAAA